GAGACACATTTTAGTGTTCGCTCTAAATTGTTGCAAAGACTGTAAAATGTCCTGCTCAACCACCCTTTCTGATTTCTTACAAGCTTCTCACACAGTTGAGCTCCTTCTTCAATGTCGTTTTGCCTCTAAGAAAGTACTGAGTGTAACCCCATTCCTAGGGTGCGACATCACCGATGCAGCAATGTCCGCTCCGTAGCAGGTTCTGTTAGCCGCTACCTAACAGTTTTAGAAATGGTGTTCTTAAAACAAGTTAAGCCAACAGCATTAGTGGTTAATCCAGTCTTTGCTGCTTTAATTCCCACCACCCAACACACAGTCTGAAAAACATCCTGCTACTTGCAAAAGACAAAACAGGAATGTTAAAAGCAGACGGGATTTGCATTAGGAAGACAAATTCTAAATGCTATGCTTGAGGGAATAAAAGATGAAAATGCTAATTGTAGAGAAACAGGGATGCTGAGAAAATGGAATCTAGAGATCACTGTGCAAATATCAATAAGACATTTCTAGATGTGCCTGCCACTTGCTGCAGATGGTTTTAGGAGTTATCCTCTAAATGCAGATGCATTACAAAGAACCAGTAACCAGAAACAAAATTAGAAAGTTCGGGAATCTTGGAGAATTAAAACTGGGTTTGGGACTTTTCCAATTGCTCTTTGACCAATTGCAAATGAGAGAAATGTTTCCTGAATCATGGAGGCAGCTTGATGCAGAGAGAGCAGGAGTTCTTTGCAGGATCGTGGTTGTCCTAGAGCTGTGCTTTTCTGGACAGGAGTGTTCTCTCTTTATCTGGTGGAGCCACTCTCCCAGTTTGTTCATTTTCAGAAGCAGATGTGTACATGCTAATTCTTTCAGGGATAAAGTGAGTAACACACCCACACTTAGCCTAAAGTTCAACTTGCAGCAAGGCAGGGATCGGTGTTTTTTAGTGTATTGTGCTTTTAGACAGGTTTCAGTGGGCCACTGAAGGTTCAACTGTAGCTGAATGTGGTTCGGTCCCAGCTCCCTGCAAGCCACATGCCAGAGTACCACTGGGAAAGGGACTGAACCTTATAAGTTGTCTCCCAGGAGCTAGGGCTGGGCAACTCCGATCCTCGAGGGCCGCTATCCAGCATGTTTTAGTGGTTTCCCTGCTCACCACGATTGATTTAAAAGTTGAATCACCATTATCAAGGTCTGCAGAAGCCTGTTAATCACCTGCTGATTAAAATCAGTGTGTCAAAGCAGGGAAACTACTAAAGCATGTTGGAAAGTGGCCCTCCAGGACCAGGATTGCCCACCCTGCTATACAAATGTCAGACAACTGCCACACACACACACACACACACACACAGTTGCTGCCAGAAAGGTGAAGCCAGGGCAAAATGACCTGCCCTCCAGAGTCTGGTTCCCGTGTAACTCCCGTTCCATCCCTGTACAAAAACAGGATGTTTGCCTGATTTATTTACACAAACAAAAATTCTCTGCTCGTGTTTTCATTTGTTGACTTCTGTACATCTCACTTCTTACCTTGTTGTTGTTTATTTGAACATTTTACAATAAATTAGGTTTAAATTTGCTATTTAATGCACAAAGCTTTTACTTTAAAAACTGTTTTTTGTGCAGGTGAGATGGTGCAACCTTCAGCACCACATTCCAACTCTGGTTTAAAAAGTACGAAATAGAGCCTGTGAAGGCCATAAAAGAAAAAAATGGCTTCCATTCTCAATGACGTATGGTGGAGAGACTTGTTGAGGAAGTTGGTTTTCTAAGTCAAAATGTTCTTGCTGATAATACCTGAAAAACTTTGATAAAACTTCAAAAGTTTCTTTTTATTTCTTTTGTTTTGTTAAACCAGACAAATTTCTTGGAAAAGCCCAGAAAATTAGACACGCTCTCCAACTGTTTTAAAACTCGTAACATGGTTTTTAGTTAAGAATTTTGTCTGTGACCCATGGGATTGTAAAAGTTTTTCTCCACCTCTCCACCACCTCTGCTGATCAAGTCTGGTCTCTGTGGTCACCAAGGACAGTTTCTGTATAACAACCTCACTTATCTGACTCTTTGGTTCTCTTCATCACTTCTGGATGTACTTCACACATCTGAGTTAATATAATTTCATGCTAAACTACCGAAACTGAATATAAGACTAAAATACACAAAAAGAGTAAATTTAATGTAATAAAATCTTCACATTTGTGAGTGTTTGTGGTGAAGAAGAAACTTTGTAAACAAAGTCTGAAGTTTGTAGAGATTGTCGGACTGGTTTCTGGTTTCACCAGACCTGGAAAGGCCAAGGACAACACCTAATGTTACCCAATGTTAATGATAAGGGTAAAAAATACACAGGATATAAATCCATCCACAAAAATAAACAATCAATGATGAACAGGGGTCTGCTTCTAGACCAGACGAAGGAGAAAAAAATTAAAGGGATACACAACAGTACAACAGGAGCAAGCTACCACTGCATCAGCCTGATGAGGCAATATAACATAATAACATTGCTTTACTGAACAATCACACGATAATAAATCACAGTGCATTTAGTGCCAACCACAGCCTTAAGACATTTGTTGAACGTGCCCAAGCCCATACTTTTGAGAGCACCATGTAAGCACCTGTGTGTGTACACGCACTTGTTTATGTAAGGTTTCTCTGTAGGAGCGTCCAATAGAGAGTGTGAGGGACCACAGATCCACCCCCGAAAGATGTGTAGGAGACGGCGGGAGCTCCAAGTTCTAGAGATCCAGGCGCTGCCCCAGAACACAGGAACCCCAAGGAGACTGCAACCAGAAAGGCCCCCGCCCTCCTCGAGAGGCACAGAGGATCGCCCCGGGGGGTCACAACCAGCAGCCGGCAGAGTCCCGGGAGATATCAGTGGCAAGCCCACAGGCCCGCCCGCAGCCTCCCACCTCCAAACCGGCCGAGCCCAGAACCCAGCGACCTGGGACCCAGGGGTGACCAGCCCCGCCGGGGACTTAACAGAGCCCAGGGATTCATATCCCACCATGCAGCCTCCGGGATTGATCAGGCAGGCGCCAAAAATCTTAAACCCCCCTGACCTAGCCACGGACATTCAGGCAGACCAAGACACCACACTCCACACCAGGTGTGACAGGGGGAGGGGAGACGAAGATCTAGATCATCAAAAGAAGTCCCAGGAGAGGGGAGGAGTCAAAGGCCCCACCTGACATATACAGTCATAAACGGATACAGTCACACACTCCTTCTCTCATGCTCATACACACACTTACAACCTAAGACTTACAAAAATGCATGTCAGACAACCACTCATGCTCCCCATACACACCCTATTCACTCTGGTCCCGGTACTGCTGCACATGGGGTACAACTATTACTGGTTCCCAGAGTTTGACCCTTTCTGCTGGGGTGCTGATGAGCAGGCTCCCCCACCCAACGCTGAGCAAAGCAACCCACCACCCCAGACCCCAACCAGACGGCAAGATCCCCATCTAGGGATGGGTACCGAATTCGGTACTTTTAAAGGTACCAACCGAATTCCATAGTACCGACTGAGCACCGATTCACGTCATTTCAACCGGTGCCTTGTTTCGGTACCCGTCCATCATAACGAGAACTTGCCAAGACAGCTGCGCATGCGCAAGAGCGTTACATCATCGGTCGCTGCGAGCGTGTTGTAAACAGAGCAGCATGGTAGAAAGAACGCACGCTAAAGCTTGGGTCCACTTCACTAAATGTGATGGGTAACTGGGTGATGATGAAACCAGCAACAACGATCTAAGTGAGACATCCTCATCTTAATCTGCTCTGGTAGGTAAATAAAATGTTTAAGATAACATTAGCTTGATATGTTAGCTTCCGTTTCGCTAATGGTGCGTTCGCTTTCTCCTCAGAACCTCAATTTTCTGACTAGAAGAACGCGCTCTAAAGTTTGGCTTCACTTTACTAAATGCGACGGGTGATTGCGTGAAGATGAAACCAGTGACAATGATCTAAGTGTGAGGCATCATCATTTTAATCTGCTCCAGCAGCTAAATAAAGTGTTTAAGATAACGTTAGCTTGATTCAATTCAATTCAATTTATATAGTGCCAAATCACGAAAAGAGTCGTCTCAAGGTACTTCACATAATAAAAAGATATGTTAGCTTCCTTTGCCACCATTGTTATCAGCTAATGGTGCGTTCGCTTTCTCCTTGGAAATTCTAGCTTCCCAGTAGGAAAAATCAAAGAAAAAGGACGGCAAAAGGAATGAAGCTACACAGTAAATTTAGTTCACAGTAAAGATGTTTGCTTCAGTTCAATTATCAGCTTATAAAACTACAAGGACGATGTTAAAATACAAACAGTTGTATGTTATTTATCGTGATATTTATCAAATATTGTTATATATTGAGAAAAATATGTGTTTAATTATAAAAGAGAATTAAAATAATAAATACTCAAAAGTATCGAAAATTGGTACCGTTAAGTACCGGTATCGATTCCTAGGTACCGGGAATTAGTACAGAATCGATTCAAATGTCAAAGGTACCCATCCCTATCCCCACCCTAGCCTCCAGCCCCAGGAAGCCAAGCGACAACAGAGGTGTGCTGAGACCGCTAGTCTCCCTGTGCCTGCTCCAATATAGTGTTAGTGTGTGTTGATGAGTTGTATTCGTGGCTGTGGTGAGTGGGCAGTGCGGGCATCATCTGGCCTACGCCAGCTGATGCCACCACACCACTCCACAGCCCTTGGTGTCTAAGTGCAGTTTAAAATTGGAAGTGGGCACCGGCACTCGGGATGAGGCTGAAAAATCCCCTTGCCAAATGCCATTGAATGTGCTCACTCCCAAGGCCCCAAGTGTGTGTTTGCATGGAATGTCATTGGTGGAAGTGTTTAATGTGCAAATAAAATTGGGGGACAGGCTGCCACAAGAATGCGGAAATGGGGTCCATACCTGCACCCCCTGACTTATACACCCCCCAAGGTTCTATGTGCATGTTTGTGAGATGATGTGAGGGAGCAGGAGTAGAAAAATGTGTGGGGATGGGGAGGAATGGCTGGTTGGCCATTTTATGAATTCTTCGACAAGAAGAGGAGTAAGGGTTTTTCATGATGCTGCAAAACAGGAGCACACACCCAACCAGTGAGGTCACTAATGAAGTATAAAAAGAGAAGCAAAGCTTCAGACTTTTCATTCAGAGTCCAGAAGAACACACCTGAGCATCACAATGAAGCTGCTTTTTTCTTTGACTCTCATCTGGACGCTCGCCTGCACAGGTAAAAATGATACTTTTACATTTGTTTCTACTTGTAAGTTGTTTTATTTTACTAGTAATTCACTTCAGAAAAAGAATTCTAATAGAATTTTCTGTAATTTTATGAGATCTAAAAAAAGATTCAGCCATGTGAATCATTTTAAGCAGATAATGCTAAATGTTCTGCAAATCTGGTCAGCTTAACTAACTTAACTTTTTCTCGGTTACAAACAATTAAAAAACGGGACATCAGACTAAATTGTCATAAAAAAAATTGAATTTTCTCCTTGGTTAAGCTACCGGTGCTCCCTTACATGTACTTTACCATGAAACCTGTGTTGTATCTGGTTGGAGTTACAATGATTTATTTATTTATTTATTTATTTATTTATTTATTTATTTATTATATTTTTAGCCAAAGCCCTGCAATGTCAGATCTGCTCAGATCAGCCGTGTTCATCCACAGTACTGCAGACATGTGCATCGGACACGATATGTATTACTGCTACTGTTCAAGGTACACTTCTTACGTTTTTATACATAATTCAGTACTTGTGTGGAAATATTTGATCAATTTTAAGTCAATATTAACAAACTATGTTGACGTTACAGCCACTTCAGCTGAAGGGACAGGAACACAATACTACAAGGCTTGTGCACAATCCTCTCTGTGTCCATCTGTAGGCAGTACAAACTTTTCAGTTGAAGTTGCCGGTGGAGGTGCACTTGCATCTGCTGAATGCTGCAAGACTGACGACTGTAACTCGAACACGCTAGCTCGTATGTTTCAACAAACAGAAATAAAAAAGTTTTGTGTTTTTCTCTTTTCTTTGTTTTGAAAACTTTTGTTTTGTTTTCTTTTGTGTTTTAGCTCCCGCTGCTCAAACCACTAATGGCATCCAGTGCATATCTTGCAGCAGCACTGGGACTTGTTCTCCATTGTCTTGTAAAGGACCAGAGACTAACTGTTTTTCTGCAACTAGTGAGTTTTCCCAATCAGTATCTTGGGGAAGAAAACTTCCCTTCCTTGACTCTATTATTTTAAAAGATTGTGGAATTAAGAATCTTCTTCCCACCCCCCAGTTACCAGTGGATCTAGCACAGTTCCAGTGCTCGGCTGCATCTCTCCAAATACATGTGCAGCTGCTGCAAGTTTGGGAAGCATTCCCTTTATGCCAAAAGTTGGGACCATCACAAGTGGACCAAGCTGCTGTGGAAGCAGTTTGTGTAATAGTCCAACAACAACAACCACAGCACCACCAACTACAACACTACTAACTACATCAACCCCAACTACAACTTTAGCCACTACATCAGCTAGACCAACAACAGCAGCTAAAACACTTAGCCCATACCCAGGAGCCACAAATGGCACACACACCACTCAATCTTCTTCTTCAACCACGACACAAACAGCTACAACTCCACCAAAACAACAAACAACTACGAGTAATGCCTATAGAGTCCATTTTGGTATTCTTAATTTGCTTCTTGGACTATTTCTCTTTTTCCTTTAGAAAAAGATGGTCACTGGAGAACTCATGGGACTTTAAAAGCTACTAAATAAAAAAAGTCTGCATAGGGATTGAGTAAGTAGCAGCAATTGTGATAAATATCTATAAACTTTTACTTTAAAGCAATTAATTTAAGTAATATTTAAGAAAATACATTAATTTATTTTAAGTGTATGTTTATATTTGTAGCTATCATTTTTGCTCTATTTCCTCTATGTGCTGTAATTTAAATTTATCTATCAAGATTTCTAATTTGTGTGTTTTAAATAAGTGAGGGCCTGTAAAATACTTTAACTTTATATCCATTTTGTTCATTTATTTTAGCCACAGTCCCTCTGTTTTAGCAAGAAAAGACAAGAACGTATTGTTCTCTGAGAAAAAATTGTAGTGTCTTGGAGTGGCAAGATGGAGGTTGATTTTTGTAAGTGTTGGTTTTTGTCTAAAATCACTCACTAAGTCTTTCTCAGTTTCTCTGATCAAAAGTAGCATTTTAAAAATTTGTGATGACGATTTTCTTGGTTTTACTTGTTATTTGAATTTAATAATACTCATATTTTGGAATTGTATGCTGGTATTTAACCCCATCTTTGGTTAAAAAAACCCCACAGATGACTCCCTTGTGATGTCAGTTGTATTGTGTGTTTTACCTTTACACCTAATAGGTATACACCGCCCAACCAAACTAAAGTTTCCACCTGGATTTATCTAAGCAAATAGATAGGAGCGGAAACTCTCATTGGATAATTACTGCATAAATGATTATCTTTCAGCCGCCAACAAGTTACTTAACCCCAACTGGTGCAACGAGTCTCTTTTCATTTCTTAAACAACCATGTAGAAAGACACATCTGGTGGTTGTGGAAAATATGTTAGTCTGAGAAAAATGGTGAATGGCTTGTATTGAGCCTTCTTAGGGTTCTACTGGTCCTTCTGACCACCACCAGCAGGCAAGGCAGTTTAAGTGTCTTGCCCAAGGACACAGCAGCAGCAGTCTCTGGTTGTAGCAATCAAACCTGCAACCTTCCGATTACTGGACAAGCCGCTCTATCTCCTGAGCTTGGATGCACCACGTACGTTACGAAAAGTCACTTTAAATATTAAACCGAAAAAGAGGCGAGCTGAAGAAAACCTAGGGAGTACCGAAGAAACGTGAGCAACAGTGAAGCAAGCACAGAGAGATCCGTTACTGTCTGTGTGTGTGTGGATGGGCCGGACGGAGCTCCCGGCTACAGAGTTTTGTGTGGGGGAGGGGCGGGATTACACGTCTCCTATTGTTTTTTGTGGTTTTTGAAGACAAAACAAAAATGTGTTTTTCCAGAACAAATTATTTGAGTGGGTATGAATGTGGAACAATAACAAACAAAACAAAAATAAATAACTGCTAAACTCAGAGCAAAAATAAATTAAACTCGAGGTTTATTTTATTATAAGGTCTCAAAAAAGAAATTTTACATTAATGTTAATGATCCAATGTGCATCTCGAATGTCTCATTTTGTTTGTCTTTACATTAATTACACATCATTCTGTTTCACAACAATTCTTGTTTGCATGTTTAGGTAGTTTCCCGAGAAATGCTTGGGGGAATTTTGCTGTTCCAAAGTGTTGGTCTCTCTTCCGTTAGACCAAGCACGGGTACGGAGTAGATGGAGTTAAACACCTTTAAAGTTGTCAGAACGAGGAGACAAATGATCAGAAGTCCATTCACTGTTTCGCCGCTCATGAGGGGGAGAGTCTCTGCAGCAAGTCCCGCGACCTGCTCTTGCCAGATGCTTCGGACAGACTCTCGCCGTTCTGCTGAAAACGGCTGATTTTTATTGAAGATTACAGGAATGTTACATACGTAGTTTGCCATACACACACGTAATTCTGCCATCTGCACCTGCAGACGCACGTCAGCTAATAGCCTTGTTAATGAAAGACCAATTCATCCCAAGGACATGCAACCTTGAGATGATCAGGACACATCCTGCAACATCCTTTGCTAACAAAGACAGTTGTTCTTGTATTGAGGAACTGAAGGAAGGAACGCTTTCACTCCCTTATGCAGCTGTTCAGCTTGAGCAGAAAAGGCACAGAGAGGTCTTTGATATTATAACAAGATTCCATGAAAAGGCATATAATAATGTATTTATGATAATATATAAGGGGCAAAAGTGAGAGATACATATTTAATCATATAAAAGAGCTTATAATAATATATGAAAGAGCTTATATGAGAGATATATATTTTCAATCCCCCTTTTGAACTCTTTTAAGAGTTCAATAAAGATATAAGAAATCAAAACAATAACACCAAATTCCATCAAAAAGAATCCAATAAGCAAAGTTTTAAAATACCAATACAAACAACCAATCAGATTACATTTACTCATCTTTCTAGCAGTAAACTAATACAAAAAACATGATCATACTTTCAACAGAACATGTTACAACATGTATGGATCGCATGCAACTCCATATGAGGGCGAAAAACCCTAATTATCATATGTTTATAGGGAAAATTCCCCCATGTCCCCCCATTTGTCATATCTCAATTTTGGGGCGAACACCTGTTGGCATAGAGTGTGCATGCCTAGGACATCAATGATCAACAAAAAATAAAACAAAACAAACAAAAAAATCATAAAAATGAACTGGTGAAGGGATGGTTACATAAATCACTGAACATTCTCACACTCTAACAACATCTTCTTCATCATGAGAGTCATCACTATCATCAGAGAGTTCCCCTCCCAAATAGATGTTAGGATTGGCTAGTAACAAGGGCATCTGGATAATTGGGTCAGCAGGTGGAGGGTGTAAAATATTACCCTTGTTAAAATAAATGAGGGTGTTAAATACAACCCTTGTAGAATGTTCATAGGGTGGTTACTTCTTCCCCCTGTTGAGGACCCTTCACTGGCTCCAGGCAGCTGCAGGGGGTGATGATGTCAAGATTCTCGTCCTGCAGGATGTGGTGGCAGCTTGGCATGCTACTGTAGTCAGCTACTTCTCTTCCTGGTTTTTTGGATCCTTTCTCTGGTTAGGCAGATGTCAGCTGCTTCTCTTCCAGGTTAGGCTCCTCCCGTCCAGCCGGACAGCGCGTGACGTCCTCTCCGTGATCCTGTATGGCTCGGTCCACCTCGGTTCCGTCCACTTCCTTTTGGTGACTTTTAGCAGGACCCAGACGCCTGGCACCGAAGATGAAGCCTCTTCGTGTGTGTAGTTTTGGTCCAATGAAGGCTTTCTCGGCTTGTGCAGTCCTTGATCTCGGCAGATAGTTGGTAGGAAGATTCACACTCCGGCCGGACCAGAAGTTCCCCGAACCGATCGCCTAGGGATTAAAGGTTATGCACAAAAATGTCCTAGCTCTTACTGACCCTAGCCTCTGATACCTTCAACATCAGACACATACAGTTACGAACAGCAAGCGCAATTAAAGGTACAGTGACATCACGACATGGACACACACAGACACACAAACACATACACATGCACATACACAGAGAGAGAGGGAGAGAGTAAGAATGTGTGTGGGAGAAAGAAATGAGTGGGATCCACTTCGCCACCAGCATCTCCACCTGTGTCACAGAGAAAAATTACAAAGAAATTAAAACACAAAGCAAACAACAATAATTCAATGAGTATAAATGATCAAACTAAAATATACAACCATGCATGGGTTTTATAACAGTTCCGGCAACACTGGAGAGGAAGCCTTGTACAATGAATTCTTAAGATGTCCTTCATCAATTAGAGGTTATAGCCAAATTGTTTCAGGATCCTGAAGTTGAATTGGTCAATTTACTCAGAATAGCCCAATGGCTTTGTTGATGTTTCTCAAGGCTCAGCCACGCCCATATAGATAAATAAACAAACAAACAAGACAAACACAGTCAAACACACGGTCCATACACGTCTCTGTGCCCTCACACACCAAGCAAATGTCAGACTGAAGCGAAAGTGTGAAAACACTTAACCTAACGCTAAATCAGTGGAAAGAAAAAAATAAGACCTAAAGCGTGTAATCAAATTAATCCAACAAAACTTCCCATAACTGCCGTTCTAAACTCATGTTGCGGTGTGATCTCTCCAATTAGAAATTAGGACAACCACTTTTACTATCAATTCAACCAAATAGTTTCAGGTTGTCCCTTACCTAAACTACCTGTCTTTCTTACCTTCTTTCTTTCTTTCTTTCTTTCTTTTTTAGGAACACTACTCGCACAAGAAATCCTAAGAATTAATTCACTACTTAAGGTTAATTCATAAATAACGAAACTGCAGTTACAGGTTTGTTTGTGCATAGTATTGGTAATCAGCAGTTTTTTTCCTTATCTCCACATCTAGAAGTGTTTCTGTGCTACTCCTCCATCTATAACACAAGTTAGTATCATCCTTAAAGCATCTGAAATTAAGCTGCATTGCTAAATCAATAACGTGATTTGTGCTAAGAAATACTCCCCTATCCTCTTCCTTTTTCCAGTGGCGCTGAATGACAGATTTTAGATCAATTTAACGTTTTATCACTATTACGTTTCATTTAATTAATTTTGCTTTTTCTCTCTTATTTTTGTCTATTTATTTATTTATGTTATTTACTTATTTATCATGCCATCCTGTGATGATAATCTTAAAGACTTTTTAGCCAATTGTCGTCAAAAAGGCCAATTAAAAAAAATATTATGTTAAAGATTTCACAAGATAAAAATGTGAACATAATTTTTATCGAATGAGGGGTACAATTATTCAATATTTTTGTGACATTATTTTCTACGTTAGAACTTACAGCTGATAGAAAAATATAGGATCAGCTAGGTTTGGCTAGATCTGTTGGGAAACTCAACGGAGCTGAAACAACACTGTTGTCTCGGATGAGATGTTCCATGAATCATTTAGTCAGCTGGATGCCAAATTATTCATTTAATGTTTATTTTTATGCAATGAATGGAATGGGATGGAACGTTACTATAAACTATCCGGAAATTTGCGCATGTTTGCTCGAAGGAGAGAACTGTTGAAGCCTAAAGCGTTCTCCTAGACTTATAAATAGACACCGTTTCCTTAACTAATGAAGATAAGTGATGACGCTGATGTATTCCGTTTTGAAAAGAAAATAAGGCTTTACTGCATGTCCGCTGCAGCTGAGAATCCTAGGACAATAAAGATTATATTGACGTCCAATGGTGAGTTGGGCTGAAATCCAGGTTACTAATCCTATTATTTATTTATTTATTTATATTATTATTATCTTTTTTTAGGCTAACTTTCTCAGTTAACTATGTTCTACAGTAGTTTAGTAAATTTTCCACAGTTCTGACATTTCATCAATTCAACTGGTTGTTGCCAAAAAGCCTTGTTCATTACCTGACTGCAGCAAGCACTCTTTTACTGGGTGTAACCATAGGAAACAGTCTCTTTTGAGCCTCTCTTTGTAAGTCCAGGATGACCACCGTCATTGATTAAAGTTCACATGTTAGCACACATGCTCCCCCTTTTGTACTTTGTTTCATCAGCAGCAGGGCAAATAAGTTTCTGCCTCTTTGTCCATCTTGTAGTGCTCCCCGTCTTGATGTTATAAGTCACAGTTTTTGGTGAGGGCTTCCAGGTTCTCTTTGTATAGAAGTCAGACCCAAACATTCTTTGCAGCTGGTTGTGACAGGCCCACCCAGTAAAGTTCATGCCCCCACAATGCACAGCAAACGTTTTCCTTAAATATGTTGATTGAGTTGAAAGGACAGAACTTTCTCTTTTACAAATCAAAATCAACGAAGGTTTCTAATATTTAGTCAACTTTATTGACTCAAAGGTAAATCTAGACTATTTCCTATGCACAATTTTTTCTGAATCATCAAATTAGTTCTACACAGGTTTTAAACTTTAGGCACAATCTATCCCAAATGCAAGATCCCTCCTTTCATTTTTTATTTATCTATTTTATTTTGGGAAAATAACTACCAGTTTTTAACTCAAAACAGCCTAGTACAGTTTCTAGCCAGGTTACAGGAAATAATACTTAGTTTATCTGTTTTTTCATTATTCAGCATCTCAAAATCCAGCCATTAACGTTAATGGTTCTTAAAGTTGAGGCAAGACAATTATTGGATTTTGTTTTATAGCAAGATTTAACAAATATTTTATTTCCTTACTGATTATTTGTTAATTTTATGGTTTTCATAAAGATGATCCTGAGAGGTTCAGAGCTGCTTTTCGCAGCACCCTGTGCTATTTTTAGACCACGGGACTCTTGTGTGTAAAAGTGGGTGGAGTCAGGTCCCCAGGCTGAAACTCCAGTCATTCTCACTAGATCTGTCCGAGAGGAAGGATCTCCTGAATACCCTAACCAGAAGCCTTAAGGTACGTCCAAAACACCGAAAAATATCCTTTCTAAAGTCACAAATTGCTTAAAACTGCATGTTACACAGAAAAACTGTGAGAGCGAGGGAGTCCAGCTGACTCCACGGCCCATAATCAGACAAAATACTTCCTTTATAACCACAACCATACAACTTTTGTATTTTAAAGGATTTACTTGTCATCACATTAACGATAAATTCTTTTTCTATTGTTTCCACAGTCTCTTGAACTAAATAACCGTCTAGCAAAAACATGGACCGCACCGTTTCTCAAGCAGCTGCTCCCTCTATTAAAAACTGAGTCATTTCAGGAGAAGATCCAGCGAAAGCAGCTCATGCAAGAAGACACGCATCCACTCATTCACATGGCACAGACGACATTCTTTGTTTGTCACAGTCCTTTTTTTTTTTTTTAAAGTAAGTCAGTTCGTCACTTATTTATTCTCTCTCTATATATATATAATATTTTAAGCACAGAATTTATTTAACACTGCACTGGTTATTTTCAGAATTTAATGCTTACTATGCTTTTAAGCAGGCCTTATGTAACATTAGAGCAAATCCAATTGCAATTTTTTTTGAGAGCGCTCTGAGGAATAGTTTATATATTTATTTTCTGCAGATCTGTTTTGATTTTACTGTTTAGCAGCTATATGACTATATTTCTAAAATAAAGCTGTCATTTACATCCTTACTTGCGTTTCTTGGTGGTTTTTTCCCTTTTTTCATCTCCAGGTCACTTAACCCCCAGATCGGGGTCACTCACATGCTGCCCCACACACAAATGATTATCACGCTTCTACACTACATATGTATATATATGTATACACATATACATACATACACACATACATATGCATATGTTACTTTAAAAACCTTTTATTTATTAACTTATGGTGTTCTGTTCAAAGACTGATCAGAACAGGGTTGCAGAATTTGAATTTTGCGTAGCTCCAAACATTAATTTTAGCACTGCAGTGTAATTTACATATACGAGTTGCAACTTTTTAAAGCTCTTATTTATCTTATTTATTTATTTTCTGGTACCGCATCAGGCCTTCACACACACCATCCAGCGCTGTACACACACACACACACACGGAGCTCCCAAAACTCTGCTCTGCATTCTGCACTCTCCTAGTGCTGCACTTTCAATCCAGAGCCGTAAGCAGCCTCTTGCTGCGCCTCACACACACAGGCTGAACTCAGCTTACACACACAGTGAAGCTTGTCTACAGCTGTGCCTTTTTCCTCTTGATTCTGCAGCCTTCACTTCCCAAATCTTGCTCCAGTTACCTCTACTGTTAACATCTACCCCTTTTTTCTTCATCGCCTCTTCCGCTGACTTTCTCAATAAAACCTTATTTCTCGTGGCTTCAACTGGGCTGCTTGTCATATTTAAACATTGCTCATTTTATGCAAAAACAGCCAAAAGCACGCAGAAATAGCCAAAAGCACTGCTCTCTTCACACAGAAGCAGTCAAAACATTTATCATCTTATGCAAAAACAGTTACCTCAGAACATTTTTCTCATCTCATGCAAAAGGCCCTTGACCTTTAAAATCCAGGGAGCTCTCATTAGCCTCCCCTTCCCTTAACACAAAAACCAGGTCCCTGACCTGTGGACTTTTAGGGTTCCCACACCTATGGATCCAGCCAAGCTTTATATAACCTCGTTATATATTCTATCCGCTCGTCAGCAAATAGTGTGGTCAGCCACGACCTGGAAATGGAATTTAGGACCTTGTCCTGGGCCTCCAACCCTTCTTTAAATGGAATTTAGAGCTTATTAATGCTCTGGGCCTCCAACCCTTCTTTAAATGGAATTTAGAGCTTATTAATGCTCTGGGCCTCCAACCCCTATGGAATTTAGAGCTTATTAATGCTCTGGGCCTCCAACCCCTTTTTTCTGTACTATTTCCTTTTCTCATTTACTCATTAAATCATTAGAAAATCCTCATTTCATTTCACCATTAAACCATTACAAAAAAATCTCTTATTCTTTCTGCACTTGTCTCCACTTTCTTCTCCAACTATTATTTTAGGACCACAGCTACTATGATTCTGGACACAAAGGCTTTGGATAAATCCAATGAGCAGATTTTAGATAATAGGCTCTGCTCACCTTGTTTTCCACCGCGGTGTTCTGTGCCAAGATCGTTCGCTGGGTCAGTAGGTCGAATCATCCTCCAAAAACTCCTTTTTCTTCAAAAAGAAAAAATCCTGTTCGTGACGCCAAATTTGTTGGTCTCTCTTCCGTTAGACCAAGCACGGGTACGGAGTAGATGGAGTTAAACACCTTTAAAGTTGTCAGAACGAGGAGACAAATGATCAGAAGTCCATTCACTGTTTCGCCGCTCATGAGGGGGAGAGTCTCTGCAGCAAGTCCCGCGACCTGCTCTTGCCAGATGCTTCGGACAGACTCTCGCCGTTCTGCTGAAAACGGCTGATTTTTATTGAAGATTACAGGAATGTTACATACGTAGTTTGCCATACACACACGTAATTCTGCCATCTGCACCTGCAGACGCACGTCAGCTAATAGCCTTGTTAATGAAAGACCAATTCATCCCAAGGACATGCAACCTTGAGATGATCAGGACACATCCTGCAACATCCTTTGCTAACAAAGACAGTTGTTCTTGTATTGAGGAACTGAAGGAAGGAACGCTTTCACTCCCTTATGCAGCTGTTCAGCTTGAGCAGAAAAGGCACAGAGAGGTCTTTGATATTATAACAAGATTCCATGAAAAGGCATATAATAATGTATTTATGATAATATATAAGGGGCAAAAGTGAGAGATACATATTTAATCATATAAAAGAGCTTATAATAATATATGAAAGAGCTTATATGAGAGATATATATTTTCAAAAGTCACTTCATCATTATAACAAAACTTGGCCATCTTGTTTTCCTGGTTTTCTGGAATGTTGAGGCACCGGTTCCCTGCTTTGCTTCTGGACTAGCAGACTTATTACCGCTGCACCACCTGGTGTGGCCGCTGTGTCACAACAGGTAAAGCCCAAGAAGCATTTACAGTTAAAGGTGGCCAAAATAGACTAGAAAAGATTTGTATTTATTGTCTGGCAGTGGGGAAATGTTGGTGCCATAGCAGTAATTACATTCACGACAGAAGCAAGGAAGAACAAAAATACAGAAAAAGAAATAAAAAGCTGTACATTGAACAAAAAATAAAACATTCATTCATCCATTTGCTTCTTCTTATTCAGAGTTGTGTCACAGGGGCCCAGTCTTTCCTCTCCCCAGCCTCTTGGGCCAGCTCTTTCAGGAAAATCCTAGGTGTTCCCTAGCCAGACGAGAGACATGGGTCTTCCTGGGTTGCAAGACCCATGACCTGCAACTGAGACCAAGATTTCTGACACTGGCCAGCACATTTCTCTCTAGAATCTCTTTGTCACGGTCTGGGTTGTTTTTGCCATCACTCTCTGGTTTTGAGTTTCCCTCTGCAGGTGGGCGTGTCCGGAGGTAGCCAAGCCGCAGACTTTCTGCTCATCAGCCAACCAGGGAGTATTTAAGCATCTGAGAGACACTTTCACTTTGCTGGATGATTACTCTACCTGGGTACCTTCTAACAGCCACTATTGAATCTTATTCGAGCTCCTGACCCTTTGAGAATTAGATGTGTTTTTGGAAATTGGATTTTGAGAATTGGTTGTGTTATTGGATTTTGGATTTTTGCCTTTTGACCTCTTGCTCTCGTCTCCAGACGAACCCTCAACCTCATCTTCGACTGGCAGAACTCTGGAGCCTACCCCATCTGGAACTCCAACCCCGCTCGTCTCTCAGTCTCTCCCTGGCCAGAACCACCTCCGGTAACCCACCTAAACTCCCCTGGATCTACAAAATCAGCTCCCTCCACGTCTTTCCCTCTGGATTTCAGCATCAGGATAACCCCGTCAACCCAGACCGGACCACTCTCCCCCTTGAGCCATATTCTCCCTCTCCAGACTGTTAAGTCCTCCACACCACTCGGATTCCCTATTCTTCCCCCCTCGAGTTGGCTCTAACTCCTGTCTGTCTGCAGATCTCCGGCACCGGATTCCCATTGAAGATATCAACTACGTTTTCTGCCGCTCCCTTGGTTCTCCTTTTAATAAATTATTATTTAACAACTTTTACCAAGACTCTGTACTGATTCCGTATGTCGTGGGTTAGACATTAACCCCACATCATGGCACTCTTGGTTATCTTGAGATTTCATTGTACCCTGCATAGATGCAGCAAAGCAGCCCAGAAAATAACACAGCCTCCTCCATGTTTCACAGTAGGGACAGTGTTCTTGAGTTTATGTGCCTTGACAAAATAGTTCATTTTGTCTCATTTGTCCGTAGTGGGGATGTTAACCTCCACCACTCAGGCCAATTTGATTCGTATCTTGATACGCTACCATACTACCAGAGATATGATACAATAACGAAGCAGTGAAACCATCTGTCCTTACGATTTATCCCTGCTAACAACGTGAGTTCATCAGCGAATTATTGGACTTCTCTCAACCACTGTTAAGGGCAAAATGTCATTCAGTCTGGAGTTTTTAGTTCTGCTCAATTGTTACAATAATAGGCTTCATGTGTGCAGATCAGTAACAATGCTTAGAAAAACATGCTGCTGCAGAAACCAGAGACCGTGTCATAGAGGAGGTTATTTTATTTTGGTAAGTTAAGACCGGAACCGCGCACGTCGGTTGATAATATCCCACAATTGTCTAACTGCGCCCCACTTACCTTCCCATGAAAGAAATAGATGATGTGCATCAAAAAACAAAGACATAGCAGGTAAATTAAGAAGTCATCAATATAAACGTGGTTTTTACTGACGACAGGCATGCATGGAAAGATACATTTGCGATATAGCCGTCAGTTGTATTCGATACACACTGAAGCTACCAGTGCAGTCGCATCACTAACGTGATGAACGAACCACCAGTTCAGATCGGTGAGTCTCCACATCCCTAGTCCTTAGGACATTCTCCCAGAAGCGCTGTGGCTTGTCAGCGTGTAGTTTGGCATATTCCAGTTCGGCTTTTCTATGATTTGCTTTCAACAATGGTGTCCTCATTGGTCGTCTCCCACGTAGTCCACTCGCTCAAACAGTGATGATGGTGCGATCCGACACTGATGTTCCTTGAGCTTGAAGTTCACCTTGGATCTCTTCAGAAGATTTTCTGGGCTCTTGTTACCATTCAGATTATCCGTCTCTTTGATTTGTCATAAAGTCTCCTCCTGCGGCCCCGCCCAGGGAGGTTGGCTACAGTCCCGTGGATCTGAAATTAAACACATTTCTTTCTTTCTTGCCCACAAAACGTTCATGCCGTCCAGGAAGAGGCTATAGGTTGCATCTGAGCAAAAACAAGGCTGAGAAACGGCTTTTACTCCGATTCACAGACCCACGAAGAGCTCCACCACATTCACTGCAGTGTGAAGTTCAATAGTAATGTGCTGTTGCTTTCTAGTATGTATTTGGTCCTTTAAAATGTTTGTATTAACTTTTTTATCCGACTTTTATAAATGCTTCCATGAGACCTGAGAATCAACTGTGTAATGGGTCTAAGGACAATACACCTATCTATGGAAATGCAGTGTTAAAAGATTAGAAGATTATTATATGGGGTGAACATGAATGCAAAATGGTGCAAATAATTTTTTTATTGTTCACGCTCGTCTAAACACTGCACAGTTGTCAAAAAAGATAATTCATACAAAAAGGTTGCAGGTTTAATAGGATTTCAACATTTATCATTCTGAGCTGCAGTTGTGAAATTATCGGCTCTAAATGAACCTCATATGTAGCAGCTCTGTTCTTTTGGAAGAATCCGTATGGGTGTGAGAACTTTGAGATGAATCCTAAATTTCTCAAGTCTGAAATCATTTAAATGTGCGTATTGTTTTAGACCTGTTGTCAATGTTGTGGACCGCACCTGTTGCTGTTGCATTAATGTCTGTGGATATTTTTATCTTAATGATAGGGTGTAATGAACTCAACACAAAATGTCCTTTTTGAGTGAAAACAATAGCATGTCACACCCACTCCTTTTTATTTACGTGAGATCTACGTTTAGTGAGGCTGCGCTGCTTTAACTCAGTCATCCTTCTGCTATTTCAGCGCCACCTAAGAAAGGTTAGACTGGTTTTACAGCATCACTCTGAGTCATTTAAAAGTGTTTACTAGTTTATCTGTCCAAAAGCACTTCTCTAACAACAAGAAATGTATCGACAAGACTATTTCTCTTGTCAGTGTTGTTTTCTATATTGAGCTCTTGGTATTTCTGCAGCTTCTCGTGATCCTTTTAGTGTCACCTGAATCTAGAAGTCCGACAAGATCTTAGTTATGTCGTTCTGTAACAAGTTAGGTCCCAGGTCTGTTGGTGAACTCGGCTGACACCGCCTATACATACACTGAATGGCATGTGTTGCATGACTTCTCCTTCTTGCAAGAATAAATCCTTATTCATCTTTGGACCCAGCTGTTTGGCGCAGATCAATCATTTATTTCTCACTTGGGTCCTTGCTAGCTGAAATGTCCACTTATTTGACCCTGACTTTGTATTCCAGCCAACTAGGCACAACATTTGATGCAATTAAACATGGTAAATGGCATGTATTTGATATAGCACCTTCTGGAGTCCTGGAACCCCCCAAGGCACTTTACAACAGTCATCCACCCATTCTCACACACATTCACATCCTGGTGGGGATGAGCTACGATGTAGCCACAGCTGCCCTGGAGCGCACTGACAGAGGCGAGGCTGCCGTACACAGGCACCACCAGTCCCTCCGACCACCGCCAGCAGGCAACGTGGGTTAAGTGTCTGGTCCGAGGACACAACAACAGAGAAAGACTGAGCGGGGCTCAAACCTGCAACCTTCCGATTACGGGGCGAGTGCTTAACTCCTGTGCCACCGTCGCCACTAATTAACTCCTGAGCATTTCTGTCTTAGTCACTGGGTGGAGTGAATGCACCGTGTGCTTTCGGTGGAGCAGGTTGCGTCCAGCCCACACCTCTCTGAAGCCTCCTCCTAATAGCAAGTTTTCTCCAAGACATGCCGTCAGAATTCATCGGCCACAGAAACTCTAATCCAAAAGATTTTTTCAATTCTGTTTCCTTTGACCTTGCATGATAGTTACTAAGTTCAAAGGAAGACCTTCAAAGAAAATAGTTTCACTTTGCACACTGCAAAAACGGGTTGACTAAATATAAGAAAAAAATACTACATTTTATATTAAAAAAAAACTAAAAACTTGTGAAATTATCTGTCCACGCAGTGAGTTAATTTTACTTTGTGAGAAATCTTGAAATAAGATTTTATAATCTAGAAATTAATTATCTCATTTGAGAATTCAAAAAGGTTAAAATAAGGATTAAATAGCTTAATTTTACATAAAATGACTTAGAATAAAAAATAATAAGATCAAAAAGTAAGTTAAATGTACTACATTTAAAGATTTTTTTATGTTGAATTCTTAATAGTAGAAAATAGGTTGCACTGAGACGATAATGTTATTTCTAAAACAAGTTAAATCTACACGGTAAAAGTGAAGTATGATTACGTTGTTTCTTGATTTAAATTGGCTCATCTTGAAATAGACCATAATCCATAGCCTAAAAACCTTTAAACAGCTTTGTTTTTACTTCTACTGAAATCACAACCACAACAAATGTGATACTGTCAACTTATTCATTTCTGAACAAAGATTTTTGTCAACAATATAGGGCTACACCACAATCCCTACAAAACTAAAGTTTGCCATTAAAGGCCCCAAATTATAAAATTTGTTTACTTTAACTTATGTGACAATCAGAGTTAACGGTTTTCTGTTAGTTTCACATCTTTATTTGTGGCTATCAGTCACACACTGCTGTAAAAAATGGTACATTTTCTAAATTAAACCACAACCTGCTCCAAAGAATGTTTCATTATGTAAAAAATAAACCTTCCTCTGTAAGGATGTAAAGGTGGAAAGCGCTCAGCCAGAAACAAGAACAAAACCTAAACAACTGCAACTGACCCAGTGTTTCCCTTACATAGGCGTAGCTGTGGCGGCCCGCCACGGCTGAAATCCCACCGCCACACCTACAAGATCCCAAGTTTTATTGATTAGTTATTTGTTTATTTATCTTTTGCGCCGTTTCTCGAAGAAGCCGCGGGAACTACTGTGTTGTTGCTTGTGATCACAGCCGGCAGGCAGCAAGGAGGAGGAGGCTGAGCAGGGTGGTTACAGCTAGGGATGAGCGTACGGATAAAGCATTTTTGACGAATACGAGCATGAAACGAGTGTAAAACTCGTAAATATCTATAATCATGCTGAAGGAAAATACTCATTGGGTAACTGAGTGTCTTCACGCTCTGTGATTGGCCAGTCACATTGAGCGCCCGCCCCTCCCTACACACAAAACTCTGCAGCCGGGAGCTCAGTCAGCTCGGCCCAGGCATCCACGCACACACACAGTAACGGATCTCTCTGTGCTTGCTTCACTGTTGCTCACGTTTCTTTAGTACTCCCTACGTTTTCTTCAGCTCGCCTCTTCTTCAGTTCAATATTTAAAGTGACTTTTTTCGTAGCGTACGTTGTGCATTTGACAAGACAGAGCTGAAAACGGCTCGTGCATGCGTCAGTCACTGCCTCCGCTCCGGTTGGGTTTTTTAAAATTATTTTAACTCTCTCTCCCCCTCTCACACACACACACACACACACACCTTAATCAACATTGTTTTGTTTAAATGTGTGTGGGAAAAATGCCAACGTTAGGAAAAAGATCAGTTTAATCAAATTAAAATAAAATGGTTCTAGTATTTCATATTTCCTAGTTCCTACTGCATGAGTTCAGATGCATTAATTCATGCACTTAAATATTAATGTTCTGATTTTACTGAAAAACTTGTTCTGTAATACTTCCTTTACTATTGTGATCAAAAATATTTAATCTCAATTCTGAGGCTGCTCTGTAAATAGTTTTCAAACAAATAATACACATAGCAACTTCTGATCAATCCATATCAATTTCAGATTTAAAATAATGTATTGATGTAAACCACACCCACTAATTTCCAAGTAATAAATAAGAGGTGCATTCATCTGTGTTTGTCCTTTGATCCGCATTACTGATATTTTCAGCACCAGAACAATGAAGCAAAGAAACAGATTCCTGAGTTTATGTTAGTAATTTTATTTATTTGGTGCATCTGACCTGTTCTATTTTTCTCTGAAATGAGATCAAATCAGTGCTTCTATGGGTTGTCTCCTCTCTGCACTAGAAAAATGTACTTTATTATAATGTTCACTGTAATGCATCTTGATGTTCTTAATAAATACATTAAAACAAAGATATTAGTCAGTAATGCCAAATATGTAAATTTGTGTTTCAGTCATTTTTATACTGGCTTAAAAATTCTTCATTAAGTCTACTAAGCAGGG